CACAACGTTCAACAAATGTTTTTGGAATGTTACAGAAGGTTTGTGTGAGTGATTGTTTTCAAATATTTGTCACATTAAGCTTCAATATTTTCCACATGAATCTAAAATAATTCTGAAAACAACCCCAAAATCTTAGAAAATTATGATAATCACAATCATCTCCACAACAATCTATATCAATAAGATTAGGTAATTATGTTCTTGTGTATTCAGAAATGCTTGTTGAATTTTAATAATTATATTTAATGCCACTTTTATATTTACTATAAAACATATAACATGATACAAAATCTAATTTAAAATTTATATGTAACATAGCTAAATCTGAATATTAATATTATTAACCAAAACAACATAGTTTACAAAAACGATATCTTTTTAAAATAATAATAATAATAATAAAATTAAAACCATGGAACACACTTTAAGTTCTTACTAAATTTTAGAAAAGAAAAAATATATATATACCACAAAATACTCCCAACTTGCTGTTAGTTTGAAATCACATATATATTAAGTGCAATGCTGATAACTTAGCATTTAAATTGACTAGATAGCATGTTAGTGAGTAAAACTATTTGAGGTAATAGTTTACGTGAGTACAAAATAAAATGAGACTTATTGCTTAATGGGTCTTCAATCTAAATTCTGATACTTTAGATGTAAGCATGTTCAAAATCTTGTAGATGGAAGGTTCTTGTTATACATAGCTTTAGTTTAGAGGGATCTTTGGTCACCTTAAATCAACATTGAAAGGTTTTTTTTTTTTTTTTTTTTTTTTTTTTTGTTGTTGTTGTTAAGTATTGATTTGTATGTACCAAACTTTGTAGAATTCTTTTTGTGTCAAAGTTGACAAGTTGTAGCAAAGATACATGTGAGAAGGAGTATTGCACCAACTGTTAGTCTGCATTAGATTGCTTTATTAGAGACTATAAAGATTTGAACTTGATTTGAAAGATGGGAAGGAAAGCATTGTAATGATTCATAAAATAATGTATACTAATTATCACATAAAAAAATGCTTTTATTGTAAAAAAAACATTAATAAGAATTTGGCCTTGTAATTAGTACTATTTCTTTATTCCACCTTTTTTCTCCCATATAACTACTTGTTTTGGTGGCTACTTATACTACTTTCAATACTTGATTGCCACTGGTTGTCTTCTTATTGGCAGCTATTTACTTTCTTGACCTAATCTATTTTATGTAATTACAAGGATTGAGTATCTTTGACCATGTTGGGTTGGTTATTTTTAATTGCCCTTAATTAACTAGACTAATTAGGAAGATCTACATTTTTATTAGATAAAAAATATGTCACTTAAAATAAATTAAATCAATAAATACATATTGTTCTAAACACTGATTGTGATTCAAAACATTTACTCTAATTAAATATAGTGTTGCATGCGTACAAGAAGAGAGTGGATAACATTTAACTTTTCATTGATTAGAGCTTTGCAGTGTTTTTGAGTTATTAAGTTCAAATGCACAGTGTAAGTACGATTCTACTTTTGATTAATTAAATGCAAAGTTTATATTGTAGAAACAGAAGTAATATTGAATCATTGTTTTGAAATATAGACCTTATACCTTTATGCAGATTTGACAAGTTATTTTTATTTTTATTGTTTCTCACTTTAGTTATATAGAGAACAAGAAGAAATTTACAAGACTGACTAAAAAAAAGTGTATTACTTCTAACAATGATCAAGTTTATTTAACTATGGAATACTACACTACACTGTATGAAATGAAAAAAAAAACAATCATGCAAAACAGTAAATTAAATACTTAATGTACTTGAATCAACTTTGAGCTTATTCATTCAAAACCAGAATCATAGAAACTAATTCAATTTAAAACTGCACCATAAGACAAGCTTAATTAATTAATAAATTAATTATTTAAAAACATAAAAAAAAAAAATTAAAAGAAGAAAAAAACAAACAATGAATCTAAAATGAAATTTGATCAACACATACTCATGTTTTTTGTGTAAAACAACAACAACAACATGGGACTAACGGTAGGTGAACAGAAGATTGAAAAGAAAAATTATACAATTACAAATAAACAGCTGTTTAAAAATCAACAAGGTGAATTATGTAATCACAATTGTATTTGTAAGAAAAAGTAAAGTATGTACATCCACTCAATATTCATCCATTCAACTAACACCCCATCCATTACAAATGCTCATCCACCATTCATCCATCATGCAGATGTACGAACATCCCCCGAGTCTATTATTCATCTAAGTAGCTTCATCCATCTATATGGCAGAATTACATCCGTTCGCAACGTGGCCATCCTTGCTCATGATCTTCCTCCTTTAAGAGCTCTCCTCTAGAAAGTAGTGAGTTTACTACTTACATGTCGGGATTCTATAACTCACTCCCCCCTTGAATCTTCGATCATGGAAGATCCAAATCTACCCATCACACAATAAAGGAAACCCACGCCCCTAAATAGATGATTATGCCTCTAATTTAAGTTTAGTGGACCTGCTAAATTGGGTTAGCTGGGATGTATATATGGTGTTGCGAAACTCTATTGGGGGAAGGGAAGTCCCCAAATGGAGCTTCATTCATTAGGAAGTAGGGCCAAAGTGGTTGGGCTCCACCCCTTTCTGTGCTTTACTATCAGTAGACATTAGGGTTTTAATGTGCTTTTGTCGTCTATTTACGTTGGCATTAATGCTAAGTTGCGATGTATTATGCTTCATTTAGCAATTGTTTTGTATTTTTTCCCAATCAATCGAGTGAACTCTTTGGCCATGCTTAGATGGTGAATTCAATGGTTTCTCTTTAATAATGAATGCGTTTATTTATATAAGTGAAGTATTTTTACATAATTTGGATTGTGGGGTAGGCAGCACAAGGCTCTTCGTTTCACAAATAGAATGGAACCGTTTGTTTGGACTGGCGTGGAGGGAATGAATGTTGAAAATTTTCATTCATCTAAATGGGTCGACTTAAGCGATGCGGATGGATGAGGGATTCAGAAAGAGATGAATGAATATATAGCGAACGGAGTTCGTTCAAAAATTTTGACAGTTTTTCCCTTAATGTGTTTTTGTCCCTGTCAATGTTCGCCGAGTTCCCAATGCAGTGTCCTTAAAGTTCCCTTGGCGTTCCCAATGTTGTTCAGTTGAGAGTAATAAATAACTCCTCGTGTGAAAAAGGGGCGACATCGATCATTCCGTTATTTTGCTGAGAGAGTGGGATTTGGATAAATATTTTAAAACTGAATTAAGTTCATTCATCCATTCACATCCGTTACTTCTTCTTCTTCATTCTAACCCAACCGTTGGATGCTGAGCGTCCACATAAGTGGCATTGTCTGGCATTTTTAATTTTTAAGAAAAACATATTCAAACAATAAATATATTTGAATTAATAAACAGGATATTATGATGACTACTAATACTCATTTTCAAAATTCTACTACTATTCTATCCTAAAAATTGTTGTTTCTTTGTATTTTACACCTGGCTTTAAATTACACGATTTAATTCAAAATTTATTATGATTGTAACGATTAAAGTAAACAGTAAAATATTATTTTTCATTGTAGATTTAGCTTTTTAAAGCAATTATTGAGGAACTGGGCCTCAAAGGAAGAAAAAGGATTGGAAAATACTCTTTAGAGAATGTTTTTATTAGAGAAGAGCTCTCTACATGGAATTTTTTCGGAAAATGTAGTGTCTTTGGAAGAGGGAGAAAGTTCGTTCTCTTCTGAATTTGTTCTAATTTTTTTGTTTTTTATTCTTTGATGTGACCTGTCTTATTATTGGGTTGTGAATCATCTATATTCTTTGGTCAAAAGAACGTGTTGCTAAGGAGCCTGCCTGCAAGGAATTCATCACCTCAAGTATTTTATTTCGTAGAAAATGTTACTTAACACTTGACAGAGATCAGGTTTGAAAACCACATTCAATAAACCCTTACTATTATTATCTACGATTCAAGTTGAGTTTCTAAAAATAGGATATAATTTTATTTTAAAATAACAGGACAGTACAACACCCTCAATTTCAGAGGCGTACTTCAAAAGAATGAATGAAAATTTCCAAACTTGATGGGATACTGTAACTTATTATCTTTTTGAACATTTGTAAGTTGCCATGTGTCAGGAAAGAAGCTGATGTATTAGACAGAATTTACTTTTTCGTTTTCTGAGGATAAATTCCTGTACAGTATGCAAGTGTTCCCACTTCGTAAAATGAGGATGCTCAATTCTTATTTTAGAATTCATGTATATATTTATATATATATATATATGTATTCCTTTCAGATAAACTGGTTCTCTAACATGTTGATTTCTGAATGAGATAACTATTGTACACTCATACCGATGTAAGCATTTCACAAACATTTTCTATAGAAATGTTGTGCAAATTGCAGTAGCCATGCTGTAGCATCAAACTGCTACAACCCAAAGCTCCTATTAATTCTCATTCCCTGACTGAATTTTACCAGTTGAGACGAAAAGTACCATCACAAGTATCAATTCCTCACAGCTTTTGAATATTTATCCCACAAACTCATGCTCCCATTGCTGTGGATGTTTTCAATGGACTTGCACCTCCATCCATAGCAAAGACCTATATAACAAGAAATGTGGGTCATGCTGGTCACCAGATTATAAAAGTCAAGGCACTTACAAAACCCTAGTTGCAATTTGCTCCCTAGGAGTCCAATAGTTTCAGGGTGGCCACCCAATGAGTGGGCTGGCTGAACTAAGTTTTTAGGGTTTCACTGCTACAGCTGGCCCGGAATCAGCTGGGTTTGCACACCGTATTCGGGCTCCATGCTTTTGAGACCTGTGGAGTTATGATCCGACACTGTTTCCATCATATGCCCACAACGTTGCGGCACAGATTTCCTTTCTGGCTTTTTGGGTTCGAATGTTGCAATTGAGACAGTGGAGAGGAAGAGACGAGAAGAGTTGGCTATGAAATCATTGTTTGATGCGCCCAGAATGGGGGAGGGAGGGGGGATAAAAGGAGAGTGAAGTTTCATTTATATGTTGCAGAGAGTGTTTCCTCTCCATCGAAACAATAATTAGAGGGAAGTCGCAAAAATCATGCTGTCGAAATCTCATCAGTGGACTGTCCTACTAAAGATACATTCGTTGCTACTTCTAGTAAAGAAAACGAGAAAGCGAAGGCAAAATGTTGTGATCTAAGCTCAGATGAATCGTAAGTGCTCGCGGCGGCGGAGGCGCAGATGTCGAGCCGCTACCATGGCCGTAGCGAGCCAGGATTCGCAGAATGGTCGGAATTGTCAGGGTTGTGATGCACCCTGTCTCCTGGACCACGCTCGGCGTGCTTCTAAATCTAAGTTCTCCGAGTATTTACAAAGCCTTATGCAACCAGTGTTGGAGCATTTGAATAGTGGCCTCGATAGTGAGATAGCCTACAGTCAGGCGTCCACCACACCACATGAAAGTGCCATCAGTAGCACGGCCCCTTCTTCTTCGTCTGATGAATATGAGCCAAATTGCATGTTCAGTTTGTTCTCATGGTCGCTGGCTAGGCGCGACCCTGGAGAGCGCTTCGGAGAACCCACCAATCGACAGGGTTGCCAAGGGACACAACTGTCAAACATGAGATTGTCTGGTGCCCGCAAAAGCGGTCCTCTGCTCCTCTTCCTTGGCTTCGCGTCGGGAGATAACACCCAGCCATGAGGATCACGGCTCACCGCAGCCTGTTTTCGCTTAGCAAAATTGGGGGCAGCTGGTAGCGAGCCTGGTTCCTCAGGGTTGCCGTTCGCGGCGGACCTTCTCCCAGCCTTCTTAAAGCGAATGCCGCACGCATTGCAGAGAGACTTCGGTCCCCCTGGCCCATTCCTCCAGAGCGGAGTTTTGGAGGTGCCGCAGTGAGCGCACACGTGCACATGCCTGTCGGCCTCTTGCATGCATCGCTCAACCTTGGACGCAGCAGTATTACCCTCGGCAACAGCACTGTGTGGTAGATTGTTCGGTACCCAGGGTTGGGGACTCGAGCGATTGCTGTAACTTGAATTGCGAACCATGCCAAACAACGCTTGTGAGATTTCTACTCCATCCTTGTAGGACCGTGAAGAAGATTTCGTCCATGTCTTGAAACTCTTTCTGCCGCCATCACTGAATCGGCCTTGTCTTTCTGAGATCTGGACACGATGGTTACAAGGACAGATGAGTTCCATATAGAGTTATCATAACTACCAAGTAACCCAGGAAAAATTTATCATAAGAGATGGCGATTGACCCAAGACGTAGCAACTCATGCAGATAACGTCTTGCTGATCAACAAAGTACCGTGGACACCGCACGAGCGGTATACTCCCAATTTTCATAACAAAATCTTTACAATCCTGTCTTTAAAATCCAAGCTTGTTCTCAACGGTTAGAAAGCATGCCTTGGGATAATACTCCGGAGAACCATCGGGATCGCTGCTCCCACCCCAGGAAACATCCTGATCGCTTTTGTCGAGGGATGGAACTTCTCTGTCCGAGTGGACTGAGATGGACCAAGCAAGGTTTTGGTTGGGGGATCCTGCACGAGAGAGCCGCGCAGGAATATCTGTCCTCGAGGTGGTAGACCCTAGAGAAAGAGTGCAGTTCATAGCCAATGAAAGATTGCAGTAACTGGGTTCCTCCATAGATTCCTACAAGCGATCGAGAGAAGTCTACTCGCTACTGCTAACACGCACCCCTCACACACTCGCAAAAATCCTCAGCCGCCTCTTGCTTCAACACGTCGAAGGAATGGCCCGATCCTTGTAGCAGTTCAATCAACAGGTTTGCTGCTCATAAACTTGACACTAATGCGATGGCGACGCGGAATTTCTAGACATCATAAGTACCAACATTCTGCCACAGTTGTCCACGACCACTCACAAACTTGATTCTCAAAAACCACACGACCTAGACGCCGCCAAATAGTCTTCCCGACTATCCGCACTGGGAACTCCCCCGCTGCTCTATCAACACTCCCCCTGTCCCTACACCAGCAATCGCCATCCATAGAATCACAAGAAGATAGAGAAAACACTTGTTTGATTACACACAACCTCACAACAACTGCTGATCGATCGCTAGTAGAAATAACACACACTCACACTCACACTCAACGCTTCACGGAAACGACACAACAGTCTAGCCTGGAGACTCTCTCTTCTAATGATCAGGCAAAACGCCATTCACTACTCAGGTGATGTGCAACGCGATCGAAGACACCGCGTAGAGCCGACGTCGACAATGAAGTTTCTTGAGCTGCTCGGATTGCTCGTATCTATAAGACAATGGAGAAAAATCTGGAGCCAGTCGATCCCAGGTTGGGAAAGGATCGATCCCAGCAGAATGAACGGCGCAACGGCGAGCGAAAGACGCAGAATAGCGGCTCCGACCAATCGCGGCTCCCTACAGAACAGAACAACGAGGAGGGAGGCTCTGAAGCATCCATCCATCCTTCCATTCTTGCCTTCCTTCCGTAGAATGATCGATTCCTTCATCCACATACATGACCTCTCTCCATCCCTCGTCTTCATCTATGTTGCATTCATTCATCTATCCATCTCCAGGCTTATCTCTTCGTTGCTGACAACCCCGGCCCGCGTCCACGACCATCCAATCCCGGGTGGGGTAGGGTGGGGGCCGGGCTGGGTCATAATGCGAGGCAGACGTGTCGCCCGGCTTATGCCCAAGCTGCCCCTCCCCCCAAAACCCCTCCACCCTACTTTTGCTTTTTCTTATTCTTCTTCTCCTTTTTGTATTTACCCCTTCCCTTCCCCACGGGTGGTGATTAAATTCTGTTTGTCCCCGCCTTGCCTGGCCAGCAGCAGCTCGCCTCCCCCTCTGGCCCGCCCCGTCCCGTTTCCTCCTGTGGGAGCGTAGGTTGGTAGGAGGATTCTGAGTGAAATGTGCGTTCCTGCCCTGCCCTGCCTTGCCCCGCCTGGAACCCTACTACCTGCTGGTTTTGGGGGGGGGGGGTACAACACTCACTCACTCACTCACTGCTTAGTACTACAACTCATCCCTCCCTTTTTACTTTATGATCGTATGTGTGTATGTATGTGCAGCAGGGCAGCAGGGCAGCAGGGCATGCAATGCAGTCAACAGGAGGAAGACGTTTTCAGAGTGGGATGTGTCCTCCTCCCCTCCCCAGTGGTGGTTGACATTTGAATGTTGGATGTGTGGCTTCTTCTTCTGTAGTTCTCTCTACATATTTGCTGCTGCTTGGTAGGGGGCTGGGCTGAGGGAGGGAGGGAGCTATCTGTAGCTGGCTATGGCTATCTGGCTATTCTTCTTCTTCTTCATCTTCTGCTCCCCCTTCCTTCGATGAGATAGATTCCCTTACACTCCTCTCCCCCTCCCCTCTTTTTTTTTAGTATTATTTCTTTCTTTCCTCCATTGGGGACCTTTTTCTCGGAGCCAGAGGGGTGCTGTGGTGGAGGAGGAGGAATGAGGAGGAGCACACTTTTTGTATGTGTATGTGTGAGTTTCGTCTCGTTCTGTATGTTTGTATGTGTGACGCAGAGCTGAGGTTGCCATGCAGTTGCTCAGAGTGACAAACCCCCACCCCCCCTCCCCACACGATTCCTTGTTTGGATGGATGACATGTGAATTTCTGTAGATGTGTTCATTCCTCACTGTTGTGCATTTGTCAGAAACAAAGTAAATAAGAAAGAAAGAAAAAAGTGACTGTGGTTTTACGTTGGTTTTGGACCATATGTAACGAGGATTTATGTTTCTAAGTCTACGTGTCCTGACAACTATTCTTATCTAGACTTAATTATCAGCACTACTACATATTCTAATGTTTACATTTTTTTTCTCTTCTTTTACTTAATCTCCAACATTTTACTGTCATTTCTACCACGCAATAATATTGTCGAGGGAATATTAATGCCATTCATCACCCCACATTCCGTGTGCATATGTTTATACACATATTTATACATATATGTATATAAGCACAGTGGTAGTCCTCTTATTTAATTAATTAATTAATTATTTTTATTAATTCAAAACATAACAATATCGTTCAAAGGTTACTGTGTGCTGGGGTTAAAAACAAGTAAGCATGATTGTTATATGATTGTCACCGCACATCAGACAGACAGCAGCATGCGCAGTGGAAACGGGGCATCGCCTGGGACGATCCAGATTCGAGACCAGAATCACCGAGATTTTCAAACACCAAAATTAGTCCTCGAGATTGAATTTGCATCGCAAGGCTTGGATTGCACCACCTGAGAAAGATATCCATGTCGCCCCGATGCCCTTTTCGATGCCTTGAGAAAAAGCTTCCGACTCAGCTGCTGAATTTAGCAGGAAGATAATAAAAAAGTGGTGTGTGGTAAGGTGTCCACTGGAAGTTGGTTACGCTTGGCTCAGGTGACGAATGAGTGAACGGCGATGAACAAGTGATCCGCGTTGTCACTGGCCACAAAGCTTTCAACGTCTGGGAACCCGGCGTGTGTTTCTTGCTTTTCTACCTCGATGCGATACATGAAATGATGCGTCGAAACACAGTCGTGGCTTGGATCCACTGTTCCAGCAAATAGCCCCCCTTCGTCGTCCTGCAGGCCATGTATGGTTTCCAGACTCGGAGTGCCTGGTTAGTCCTTTCCAAACGCAGCGCGGAATCTTCCATGCATGATACGAGGTTGTGTGTGTGTATTCTATATAAAGCGGCGAGAGAGGGAGAGAGAGAGTATGAATTCTGCTGCATTGAGGAGAATAGAAGTGAACCTCAGCAGGTGAAGCGTTCGCCATGGGGTTCGACTCGAGGTGGTGGTACTTCCCTGGGCTCAGGCGTGACAAAGATAGACGACCCTCGTTGTTCTGGGCGTCAGTTGTTGCCGTTGCATTTCGGACGTGCTAACCGCAACCCCAACAACGCTATATTCTCTCCACGTACACTGGAACCCACAGAATTGTGCGTGCTGGGGTGGGACAGTTCCGCTCCACCCAGCACCACGTCGTCTGTATTGTATCAGCTTCGTGGGGACGGAATAAGGGAATCTCTCTGCCGTCGTAACCAACTGCTTCGCAGTATGTGGGTTGATTTGCAACCTCTCGTGACGAACCAACAGCTGCTTAAACCAGGTGCCGTTTTAGCATGAAGTACTACAGGGGGGAATCTGGAGCACGACTGCGTCTGTCGAAGTTCCGACGTGGTCAGGGTGATGGTGTGGTCTCGACATTCGGCTTAACTGTCTGGGTTGCAAACTCACGGCAGCTGCAGGCATTAGTCCCTCCTCCATTGCAGCAAAACACCACTTCGACACCTGGGAACGTGTTTCCATGTGAATTGCGATTGAGGAGTGAGAATAAGTTTTTGCTGCTTTGGAATCCCAGTTTTGAACCATTTTTCACAAAAAATTGAAGCTTTGTTGTGAAAGGAGTTCCGCTGCCACATATTTCTGTGCGCCACTTTGTACATGGCAGCATGTGCTATTTGGTTACAGATGAACCTTTGAAGTCTTCAGCGTATCAATCGTTTTAATGTCAAATGCTGCGACTCATAACACTCGGATGATGCTTTGTTTGGCATTCCTCGTCACAAGAAGGTCCAGTGTTCTCTTTTGCTGCACAGATTGAATTTGAATAGATGGTTCTTTCTTTTCGAAAAGGTGGTAATTTTTTGAACTAAACTAGAAGTGCATTCAAAGGACAGAACCGCAGTTCCTTGATTAAAGAAGAAAAAGAAAAAGAAAAATGGTGATATTTCATTCATTTTTAATCATACTTTTTAATAGAAGTTCAATGTACAATCTTTTGTTGGAAAAAACCAAGAAACATAAAAGTGTTCATATATGTAGAGAAGCCTTTTAGACAAAAAGACAATGCTTATGCAAATAAGCAAATAAATATATGCTCTTTCAAAGACCACATGCTGTTTGTAATGAATCAAAAACTATTTTTGAGAACCCACGAAATTATTTTGATAACCCACTAAATTTGCATAGATTATTTACCTATCTCATCCTGTGATTAATTAGTAAATATTGCAAAGTTTTAACATTGTTATATTTAAATTACATTTGCAAAATTTTTAAAATGTTGTTTTATCCTATATTATAATAGCTATGATTTTGGAGATTATTTCCATAGATGGTCTTTTTTCTCATACAGTTGAACATTTTGTATGTCTTGAATTCTGTAAGACAAGCCTAAATCACACGAATTCTGCAAGAGAATGTAAATGCAGTGCGTATAGATATGTAGATACACACATTTGGTTCTCATGAACTTTGATAAGAGTACACTTTATAACATGTTGAAAAATAACTAAACCTGTTTCTGAAATTTCAATGAATAGACCATTATTTTTTTAAGATTGTTATCATACAAATATGTAGTTGTTATTCAATGAATAATTTCTGACCAAGTCAGTATTGGACCAAATGCTCAAGTTTCTATGATAAGTGGATAGAAATCTTTTGAAAACAGTGTATTTCAATTCCAAACAATTATAGTCACTCTTGTGAATGCACCTACATTTCTTTCTTTTTTGGTTGATGTCCACATTTCATAGCTAAAAATCAGTAAACAAAGCATCCAATTGAGACTTGATTTTTTTATTATAAATTTAGTATCTCAAAGTTTATTATTACATTTGCAGTATACTTAATCATTCTATTCATTGTTTGCACTGCAGTACACTTAAACATTTTTTAGTTAGATTTTTGCAAATATCAAAAACCAATTGTTTAGTAATTATAATCCTTTTTTAAATTTTGAAGTTGACTTTTGAATATCAATGTACATGCATACACACAAAGACACGAATTCAGTGTACATTTTGCAATACAAAAAATCTGAATTCGTGTTAAATGAAGTACATTTTCAAGTATAAATTCTTAATTTTCTTGAGTTTTCATCCACACTCTTCAATAATGAATCAACTACAACAAAAGTAGATAAATAAATAAGTAGAACATGGAAGACCACACAAAATAACAAATAAATAAATAAATAAATAAAATAGTATGATGTAGTTTGATTCAATAGTATTTTTCTGAACTCATCTCTTGATGTTGGGATTTATTTTCATGATGAAGGTAAATAAATTTTATTTAGGAATAAAATGATCTAATAAACAAAAAGTCCAACTTTGAATTAAAGCAAAAAGTATCTGTAAGCATTGACCTTATACTTTCAAAACAAAATCGAGCAAATTGATTTTTCACGTTTCTAACATCCATGAAAAAAAACAGTGATTTTTTGCTATATCAGGGACAAACCACTTGTTTAAGATTTTTTTTGAAATTTTAGATTTTCAACTAAAAGAAGTTGTTTTCATGATGAAGGTAATTCAACTTTGCACAAT